AAATATATATGTTGCAAATATTTCTCTCAGTCCATCATTTACTTTTCATTTTCTTAATGACTTGGATGAGTAGACATTTTCCATTTTTTCTTTTATAGTTAGTGCCTTTGCCTCCTCCATAAGCAATCTTTGCCTGTCTCCAACTTGCAAAGCCATTTGCCCTTACCTCTTCTAAAAGCTTTATAGTTTTGCCTTTTATAGTTACTTCTATAATGTATAGATCTAGTATATAGATCTTTGTGCTTATATATAAAATAAAATTAATTCTTGCATAAGAGGTGAGGTTCTTTTTTCTTCATACATTTATCCATGTGTTCCAGAGCATTTGTTGAAAAGATTTTCCCTTTCTCATTGAATTTCCTTGGCACATTTATTTGTGAAAAACAAAAAAAAAAAATCAATTGAAGAAACATGAATGAGTCCATTTCAGGACTTTCTGTTCTGTGTCATTACTGTTTGTCCTTATGCCAATACTATGCTGCGTTGATTTTCATAGTTTTGTAGAAAGCCTGAATATCAGATGTCATGAATCCTCCAAATGTGTACACCTTGTTACGATTGTCTTAGCTATTACAGGTCTTTTCCATTTCCAAGGAGGTTTTAGAAATAACTTGCCAATTTCTACTAAAAAGTGTTGGATTTTTAGATTGTAGTTGCCTTGAATGAATTGATCAATTTAAGGTGAATAGATTTTTTAAAATAAAGGTTCCAGTCTATAAACCTTGTATATTTTTCCATTTGCGTAGTTTTTTAAAATACGTCTCAGCAATATTTCAGAGTTTTCAGTTTAGTGGTATTACAAGTTTTTGGTAGGCTTATTTATAAACATTTTATGTTTTTTAATGTAATTGTAAATACAATTGTTTTTAAAGTTTTAATTTTCTAGTTGGTTGCATCAGTATATAGAACTAACCTACAAGTGATACATATATATACTGAAATTGCTAACCTTGCTAAATTCTGGTAGCCATTTTGCAGATACCTCAGTAATTTTATGTAAACAATCATGTTATCTGAGAATAATGTTTCTTAAGATCTACTTCCTGATATTAATACAACCATGTCAGCTTCCTTATGTTTATCTTTGTAGCATATATCTTTTTCTATCCTTTTTCTCAACCCATCATTTTTATTGTATTTCAAGTGTGTTCTCCTGAAGACAGGTTATAGTTGGGCCCTGCTGTTTAATCCAGTCTGAAAGTTTCTGTCTTTTAATGTATGAATTTTTGTCCATTGATGTCTCATGTGACTATTGATAGGGTTGGCTTCGAGTCTACCTTCTTGCCTTCTGTTTCTCAGTTGTTCCATTTCTATTTCTATTACTCCATTCTTCCTTCTCTCTTCCGTTTGGCTAACCAAACAAATTAAGTATTCTTCTCAGCTGCACTCTCTTTCTACTGTTATTTGGTGGTTTCTCTAGGCTATTCAGTACGCATTCTTAACTTGTCACAATCTACTTACTTAATATTGTACCATTTTCTACGTGATATAAGAAACCTAAAACAGTACAATTCCATCTTCCCTAACTTTTATACTAGAACTGCTGTATATTTTACATTTACATGTTCAATAGAACCCATTGTACCATATTATTATTTTTGTTTTAAACAGTTCTCTTTCAAAGACATTAAAAAGTGATCTTTTCACTTATCTAAGTATTTGTTCGTGTTCTTCGTTGTTTCCTGCAGATTTATATTTCTAGCTACTGTAATTTCTCTGTTGCTTGAAAATTTTTCTTTAGCATAATGCAGATGTGCCAGAACAAATTCTCTAAGCTTTCTTTTATCTGAAAATATACCAAATTCATTCTCATTTTTGAAGGATATTGTCTCTAGGTAGAATTCAAGGCTGACAGGCTTTTTCTTTTAAAACTTTAAGTACGTTGTGCCATTATTTTCTGTCTTCCATAGTTTCGTTGAGAAGTCACTCATTATTCATCATTGTTCCCCTGCAGGCATGTGTCCTTTCCCTCTGACCACTTTTAAGGTTTTCTCATTATCTTTGGTTTTCAGCAGTTTAGCTATGATGTATCTAAATGTGCTTTTCTTTATATGTATCCTGCTTGGTGTAGTGAACATCTGGATCTGTAAGTCAATATTTGTCATCAAATTTCCAAAAATTTTGGCCATTATTTCTTCATATATTTTTTCTGCTCCATGCTTTCTCTCTTCTCTCCTTGGGAATTCACTTAAATGTAGGTTACATTATTTGATATTGTCTCACAGGATACCAAAGATCTATTCTTTTCCAAATTTTTTGTGTACATCAGTTTGGATAACTTCTATTGATTTGCCTTCAAGCCCTGGCTGGGCTCATTTCAGATATTGTAGCTTTTAGTTTTCTTATTTTTAAAAATATTGGCTGGGCACAGTGGTTTGGGCCTGTAATCCCAGCACTTTGGAAGGCCAAGGCAGGCAGATCACCTGAGGTCAGGAGTTTTAGACCAGCCTGGTCAACATGGCAAAACCCCGTCTCTACTGAAAATACGAAAATTAGCTGTGTGTGGTAGCACGTGCCTGTAATCCAAGCTACTTGGGAGGCTGAGGCAGGAGAATCACTTGAAGCTGGGAGGTGGAGGTTGCAGTGAGCCAAGATTGCACCACTGCATTTCAGCCTGGGCAACAGAGCAAGACTCCATCTCAAAAAAAAAAATTAATAGTTTTCATTATATACTGAGATTATTCTATTGTTTCACTCATTATAACCATTTTTTCTTTAAATTAGCACTTGGCAATTTTTTTTCTGAAAGGGCCAGAGCGTAAATATTTTAGGCTACCTGGCCATATAATCTCCACTGCAGCTGTACACTCTGCCATTATAGCAGAAAAGCAGCCAAAGACACAATGTAAATAAATGAGTGTGTCTTTCTTCCAATAAAACCTTATTTATAAAAATAAATGGCAGCAAATCTGCAGGTCATAGCATACTGACCTCTGCTTTAAGTCATTGAGCATACTTATTACAATTGTTTTAAACTCCTTGTGTGCTAATTCCAAAATCTGGGTCATTTTAGGGGTCTGGTTTTTTGTTTTTTTTTTCATTTTGAGACAGTCTCACTCACTCTGTAACCCAGGCTGGGGTGCTCAGCTCATGTAACCTCCACCTCCCAGGCTCAAACGATTCTCCTTTTGCAGGAGTTAAAGGTTAAGGTAAACTTCAGTCCAGTCTCTGAATTACCGTTCTCTTTTTCTGGACAGTGAGAAAAAGGAAAGGAACACAGCTACCATCTATTTCATGCCTATTATTTTCTGGGCTTTCTGCAAGTTACCTTAGTATATTATTTCCTATAATCGTTAAGTCAATAAAATAATGATTTGTTTTGTTTTGTTTTTTGAGACAGAGTTTTGTTTTTGTTGCCCAGGCTGGAGTGTAATGGCACAATCTTGGCTCACTGCAACCTCCACCTCGCAGGTTCAAGTGATTCTCCTGCCTCAGCCTCCCGAGTAGCTGGGATTACAGGCGCATGCCACCATGCCCAGCTGATTTTGTATTTTTAGTAGAGACAGGATTTCTCCATGTTGGTCAGGCTGGTCTCAAACTCCCGACCTCAGGTGATTCACCCTCCTCAGCCCCACAAAGTGCTGGGATTACAGGCATGAGCCACCGTGCTGGCTTAAAATAATTATTACTACACCATGAAGCTGAGCCTTAGAGAAGTAAAACAATAAAACTATGTGGCTCATAAGCTGCTGGAGCTAGAAGTTAGAAATCCATCTTTCTCCCTTCCCACCATGCTGCCGGCTGCTCTTGCCTTATCATGGAATTACCAAATTTATTGAGTGCTTATGTTGCCTGTTCCACTGTAATTTCTGGCCCATGGAGCCCATTTAAATTGCTTTTGCTTAGTACCTTGTTGATTAGAGATGGCCAAGCTGTCTGATTTCTCCCTACCTTCGGTTTTTAGTTTAGTTTTTTTTTTTTTTTTTTTTTGAGACAGAGTCTTGCTGTGTCATCTAGGCTGGAGTGCAGTGGCATGATCTCGGCTCACTGCAACCTCTGCCTACTGGGTTCAAGTGATTCTCCTGCCTCCGCCTCCCAAGTAACTGGGATCACAGGCACATGCCACCATGCCTGGCTACTTTTTTTGTATTTTTAATAGAGACTGTGGTTTTCACCATGATGGCCAGGCTGGTTTCCAACTCCTGACCTCATGTGATCCACCGCCCTGGCTTCCCAAAGGTCTGGGATTACAGACCCCTGCTTTTCTGCCTCTTCCTGTCCCCGCCATCTCCCCATCCCCTTCTTTTATCCAGCATGTGATATTTTCCCCCAAAATTGAATCTCTGGAAGCAGAGAACTTGTTGCCAAGTATGCAATGGAATTATTTTTCTGATTGGACCTGTGCATGTTTCCCCTTCATAGTTTGATGTTTGACCATTACTTCTGATGTCCTTAGTGAGACACCAGAGTCCTTCTTTTCAGGCTGAGGGAGGGTAGGGTCTTCATAATATAGGAAGGTATTTGGTGAACTCAGAAGTGGGCAGGTGAGTGTGAAATACACATTCCTGTTTGCCAGATGTTCAGTGAAGCACTTTCTGTGTATTTCTCAAAATTATGGCACAGAATCATTAATTATAGAAAGTCTAGCCATTTGTATATCTTAAAAGTATTTTGCACAGACACATTGTGTCCCTTAATTAAATAGACGTAACTCTGCTCCTTCCTTTCTCCACATTTCTTGGCCCTCCTCTCTCTTTCTATACTTGCTTGACATGAGGCATATGCAGAATAAAACCTCATTAATTTCTACTCATCAGGTTTGAAATACATTGTGCTTTGGAGAGGAACTTGCTTGTCAGTAACTTTTGAGCCAGCTCTGATACAAAGGCTTCTAAAGGACAACGGTAGCAGCCTTAGTTCCTTTCTAGCAAAAAGTGGGGCATAAAATCTTCTTTTAAATAAAGTGAAGAAATAGGCGATTAAGTCATTACAGGATTAAATATGTGAGTACTTGCCTGGGGCCTCTTGAGCTCCTAATAGGCTTCACTTTTTCTTTGCAGAGCTCTGTGACGATGACCCGCCAAAGATCACATACGCCACGTTCAAAGCCTTGGCCTACAAGGAAGGGACCATGTTGAACTGTGAATGCAACAGAGGGTTCCGCAGAATAAAAAGCGGGTCACCCTACATGCTCTGTACAGGAAACTCTAGCCACGCGTCCTGGGAGAACCAGTGTCAGTGCATAAGCTCTTGTAAGTGTTCCTTCTGTGACTACCGAGAAAAGGGAAGTGCAACAGAGTGAGACGGAGCCCGGCTTCTGCTCCCTCAGCCCTGCAGACACCCATGGGCCAGTCCAGTCTACAGGAAAACTAACTTCAGGGATTCCTGAAATAGTCATTCACTAAACACAATTTTATTACTATTTTTGAGACAGTCTTGCTCTGTCACCTAGGCTGGAGTACAGTGGTGCAATCTCAGCTCACTGCAACCTCCACCTCCCGGGTTCCAGTGAGTCTCCTGCCTCAGCTGCCTGCGTAGCTGGGACTACAGGCATGCACCACCATGCCTGGCTAGTTTTTGTATTTTTAGTAGAGATGGGGTTTCACCATGTTGGCCAGGCTGGACTTGAACTCCTGGCCTCAAGTGATTCTCCTGCCTGGGCCTTATAGGCGCACACCACCATGCCTGGCTAATATTTCGTATTTTTTGGTAGAGATGGTGTTTCACCATGTTTCCCAGGCTAGTCTTGAACTCCTGGGCTCAAGCAATCCTCCTGCTTCAGCCTCCCAAAGTGCTGGGATTATAGGTGTAAGCCACCACAACTGACCTAGATGCCCTCTTTTATCCTGAGCTGGAATTCTGATCACCCTCCCTTCACTGAGGCATTCAAACTCAACTCCTTTGCCAAACTCTTCACAATAGAGAGAGGGTTGTTCTAGAAGTTTCCTTGTCATTGCATCAAGATGGCATCTCTAATTTTAAGCATTCTGAACAGCCTTAGGGAGCAAAGGATCAGTGCGTTGTGGAGTGAGACCACTCCTGCTGCCATCAAACAACACAGAGATAATTGACAGCAAGCAACAAGTCCCTTTTGGTGAGACACACACACACATATGCATAACATATGCGGCATACAGACACACATACACACGTTCAGAAACATGTCGTGGGCACTGCCATATGCACATGAATACTGAGCGGCCGGTCCTGGGAGGGGCGTGAGCCAGCACCACCCGAGGGAGGGAGTGCTCTGGTTTCATCTTTGTAAGCTTGGCAGACACCACCAGACACATCGTGGGCACGGCCAGGTGTGCTTCTCCAGTGAATAAATACATGAACAGTGTTTTGTTTTGTTTTTTTTGAGACAGATTCTCACACTCTTACCCAGGCTGGAGTGCAATGGCGTGATCTTGGCTCACTGCAACCTGCGCCTCCCGAATTCAAGCAATTCTCCTGCCTCGGCCTCCCGAGTAGCTGGGATTACAGGCGTGTGCCACGACGCCTAGTTAAATTTTGTATTTTTAGTACAGACAGGGCTTCACCATGTTGGCCAGGCTGGTCTTGAACTCCTGACCTTGTGACAGGCCTGTCTTGGCCTCCCAAAGTGCTGGAATTATAGGCATGAGCCACCGCGCCCGGCCATGAACAGTGTTTTCTATCAAGGATTTGTGAAATCATCTGCATGATTCCATCCATATTTTCTAGCCCCTAGGAACACAACAAAAAAAGTGACACCTCAACCTGAAGAGCAGAAAGAGAGAAAAACCACAGAAATGCAAAATCCTATGCAGCAGGTGGACCAATCGCGTCTTCCAGGTGAGAGATGAATCTGCCTCCAGCTCACACCTATGAGCCCACCCTTCTCTTGCAGGTAGATGATGTGTACCCAAAGGAAGAAAGTCTTCCCTGCCTTCCGTAAACACAGGCATGCCGCTCCCCTCCTCCCAGGACATCACTGCGGGCAAGAACAAGTGCAGGCTGCTCAAAGGCTGTTTGCTCAGCCACTTAAGCCAATCTGATGGCAGCTAGTCCAGGCCTGGGCTTACTCTCTGGTTTGGTAACCGGCCAAATAGAATTCAACCCAAATTCGACTCAACTTACAAGCATCTGTTGGGTCTGTGTGCCAGGCTGTGTTGATAGAAGACACAATCAAGAATGTGACAATGATCCCTGCCCTCAAGGAAATGCTCTGTGTCTTCCCCTTAAGCACAAGACAATGCACTGCAAAAAAATTGTTTACTTCCCAGTATTGCTTTCAGGGAAATGTTACAAAATGTGCATGCCACTCTTGTGAGTCTCAAAAGCTCCAGACGCACATGTCCTGGCCAGCAGTCTGTGCGTGAGTGCGTACTGCAGCCACCCCTTGCCTGCCCTCAGCTTTCCCAAATGAATCATGATTCAGTCATGGTGTCAAGAAAATGGGCCAGGTGCGGTGGCTCACGCCTGTAATCCCAGCACCACGGGAGGCCAAGGCAGGCAGATCACGGGAGGTCAGGAGTTTGAGACCAGCCTGAACTCCTGACCAGCCTGGCCAACATGGTGAAACCCTGTCTCTATAGTCATACAAAAATTAGCCAGGCATGGTGGTGGGCACCTGTAGTCCCAGCTACTCAGGAGGCCAAGGCATGAGAATTGCTTGAAATTGGGAGGCAGAGGTTGCAGTGAGCAGAGATTGCACCACTGTACTCCAGCCTGGGTGACAGGGCAAGACTGTCCCCTCTCAAAAAAAAAAAAAAAGAAAAACAGAACCCGCTAGGAAGAACTTAGCTTTCTGAGGTCAGGCCGACCTTAGGAAACTTCAGAGCTCTATGCTAATATATAACTTTACAAAGAACTGGATCAGATATCATCCCATTGGAGCCTGGCAATACAACGAGTCAAGGACCAGGAAGTGTTGCTTCAATTTACTGAAGAAACTGAGATGCAGAGAAGTTAAAAAGACTTGGCTAAGCTCACATAGTAGGGCTGACATCAGACCTCCTGTGTGATCTAATCAGGGCTCCCAGATTAGATGAGGAAACTTTCTGCTCATTACTTATTTTAAATTAGTTGGGATTTACTTACAGCTTCCATTATTGTATTTTTTTGAACTGACTAATCTAGGGGCACAGCTGCAACACGATGTTCTTACCCTTCCCTGCCCCCAGCTTTGTCCTGGAATGGCGTTTCCAAGCACGTGGGTTTGTCTTACTCTACTTCCTCCACATCACCCTGCAGAGTTACTGGAAGGCGTCAAGAGGCCAGCGCTTTGTCCTTTCTCGAAGGCTGGTTCTGGCTGAGGGATGTTTCGAAGATCGTTTCAGTTCGGGTGTTTTCATTGGAAAGAAGCAAACCCAATTCAAACATGTTCAGATAGTTATGAATTGTATTGGCTGTCAAACAGCCTTTTATCCTGAGACCAAAACACAAGCTCAGTCGTGATGTTCAAGGTGCCACACAGCAGGAGCCAGCCTGGGACTGGGACAGAGCCACCCAGCTTCCTGCTGGGGCAGAGGCTCCGTAGGAGACTTACAGAGGCTGTGCTGGGTATGCAGGGCTGGGGAGAGTCTGGAGGTTCGGAGCACATGTACAGTTTCACAGGCTGGGGTTAGAGGGCACATACAATTCCATATGTCCAGGTTGGGGGCTGTGGGTGGGGAATTCTGAGATGTAATCAGAACAAGACAGGGTCTCAGGCCACAGGTAGTTGGGTGAGTGGAAAGCTCTGTGGCATAGGAAATTTTGAGAGTTTTGACGGGGTGCATGTGTGTCAAGCTTCAGGTGTGTCTTGATCAGAGATGGTGCTCCATTTCCCTGAGGTTCCCTCAGCCTGTCCCTCCTCCTGGCTTTGGTGTTGTCCCCAGTCCTTCTGCCATCATCCCAAGATGCCCACCAGCCACCCCCGAGAATAAGCTTCCTCACTTGTCTGGAAGAAATCCAAGGTGGTCCTCATGCTCCACTGGCCCAAATAGGCTTGAGCCTGCCTTTGTGCCTCAGCTAAGACTGCCCCACCCATTCCCGTCCACTATCAACCCCTGCTGTGTCTTCCAAGAGCCAGCTGTGGTGTTCCTCTCTCTTGGGGCAGCAACAATCAGAATGAATTGCTCATTCCTCTGTGTTCGTACAGCCAGCGTCTGCTCCTCGTGACAATCTTCACATGCCTTTCTTCCCCAAATCTGCCCCTTGCAGGAGTGACAGGGTCTTCGTGCTTTCCCACAGGGTCTAGCAAACTTCCCCATGCTCAGGTGTTCTCAACATATATTGGTTGAAAGGATGAGCAAGCATTCGAAAGAGTAAGAACCGGTCGGGTGAGGTGGCTCACGCCTGTAATCCCAGCACTTTGGGAGGCCAAGGCGGGCAGATCACCTGAGGTCAGTAGTTCGAGAGACCACCAGCCTGGTCAACATGCAGAACTCCCATCTCTACTAAAAATTAGCCGGGCGTGGTGGCAGATGCCTGTAATCCCAGCTAATCGGGAGGCTGAGGCAGGAGAATCGCATGCACCCAGGAGGTGGAGGTTGCGGTGAGCCGAGATCAC